CACGTTAGCTGTCTGAATGCAAGGTCCCTACCTAGTGGAAGACCAGCCAGACCATGTTATTCTTCAAGAAGAGTGACCTGCACGATATCGGCAACTGTCGCCCAACCTGCTTACTGTCCGCAACAGCATTGACAGAACACTAGACGAAAGACAACCATGTGAGCAAGCAGGGTTTCGAAGATGATTTAGTACAATGGACCACATCCACACGGTAACACGGCTCATTGAAGTATCGCGAGAGTACAAAAGACCGCTCCGTCTCACTTTCAACAATTTACAGAAGGCCTTTGATTCAGTTGAGATGACAAGGAGTCCCTACTCAGTACATAGAGATTCTTCGTGACGTATACAAAAATTTTACAACCACAGGATATCACTATTCTACGATATTAACATTAACGTCAAAAGAGGAGTTAGGCAAGGCGATACCATCTTGCCAAAATCATTTACCACCACCCTCCAGAACATCTTCGGAACACTGAAATGGAATAATATGGGAGTGAAAATCGATGGTCAGCAGTTACATCATGTTCGCTTTGCTGATGACATCGTCCTTATAACACCAAACATTAGCCAGGCGGAACGTATGCTTGACGATTCTGATAAAGCCTGTGGAAAGATTGGTCTTCGACTAAATCTCACAAAAACGATATTCGTGAAGAATGAATTGGTTTCGCATGCCCCATTCACGCTCAACGAAAGGAATATCATCGAATGCTCCACTTATATCTATATAGGTCGGGAAATCAATATGGTGAACGACCTAGCTCCAGAGCTGAGCAGAAGAAAACGAGCGGCATGGGGAGCTTTCAAGAGCATCGACGATGTAGGGAAGAGACAAAGAACACCCGACTCCGTGCCCACCTTTTCGACTCAACGGTACTTCCTGCCTTAACGTATACGTCAGAAACCTGGTTGCTGCGTAAGCAAGATGAAGGATCACTCAGCGTTATCGAACGCACAGTGGGAAGGACGATGCTAGGAGTATCCCGTTGCACACAAGTAAGAGATGGGATCCGAAGCTCCGATCTGCGTCAACGATCAAAAATCAAAGATGCCGTTCTGTACGCCAAACTGTCGAAGATAAGGTGGGCCGGAAACGTAATACGTATGCATGACAATCGATGGACAAGAGCCGTTAGTGACTGTATTCGTTGGGATTTCAAACGTACTGCAGGAACACCACCGACCTGATGGTAAGAGTTCTTCACAAAGTTTTCTTCATTCGTAATCCTTTCGATTGGTTGATCTAGGGAAGTTTTTACCTTACGCATTCAAATAGACTTTTACAAAATCATTTGCTCCATAAGAATGTATTCGTAGCCAGTGTAATTCCAACCATTGCTTGTTCCTCACAACTGAGGAACTGCTGGTCTGATATTTCTTCAATATATTTGATAAAGAACTGCTCAAAATCTTCGGCAGTTTCTTTTCTCGGTTGCATAACCAGTAACACTTTAGTGAAAGTGGCAACATACGGGGTTCCTATGCGGAAGAGCCTTTTCAGTATTTGAGAAGCCATTAAGTGAGATAACTACGGTCACTTCCGTAGTAGCTCTTCCAAATCGGAATTCCGCTTCTTATCAGACGACAGTGCCTTAGGAGGTTGTGGTTTTTGTCATTGAAACCTTCAAAAGCCGTTTCATAATCTTTTCAACGTTTCTGATGCATAGTTTTTCTCATCAGATGTTTGGTGTGAAATTTCCTCTTCAGCTGGAGCTTGCGGTGATCTTTTGCTTAACAATCACATTTGTCACAACGGTTTCCAAAGACGTCAGCATGGTTTAGAGTCTAGTGATCAACCAGATTGGCTCAGTAGCCCGTCACAGTTGACAAATGAAACGATTGTTAATTTAATTAGTGGTAGTTGCGAACACCTTCTCAACATCAACTACAACAAGATCTAGCCGATCTTAAATAATCTAGTGCATAACATACATAGATGTGATTTTCTAAGTCTTCTTTCGAAATAGAAATCACTTTCGATTTTTCTATTTTAATCACTTTGTATGTGACTTACCTTGAGATTATTTTTTCTACTTCCCACAAAATTTCATTAACTTCCTAATCTCGAAATGTTTTCTATCGCTCTAATTATTTCACCAACTCAAGAAAGGAGGTAAAAATGGTTTCACTGTTTCCGTAAAATAGCTCTCACATGAATCTTGAGGTGAATTACCGCCTGAACAAACTCTAGAAAATTGAAGGAAATTAAAGTAATCGTCATTAAGCTAGGGCGAAAATCGCATCCATGGAAGTGCTTTGTTTTGTTTCTTTAAATCCAAAAGTGTTATTCATGGCGCGGACTGAACGCTCACGAAACTGAAGACGTTACCGCTTCATCGTTTTCGGTCTTCTTGGTCGTCTAAACTCTAAGCTCCATGTGATGACAACTGTGCTGAAACCCATGTTTCCAATATTTGATTGTTCCTGATCGCAAATGCCTTAGCAGTGGTATCGAAACGTAGTTCCTGTACCTCGTTCAGAATTATTTTCAATCCGTCCACTGCTCTATCTTACGGTTTCTAGTCCAACCTGTTCGTAAAGCATTGATGTCTGAGCTGTTAAATTTTAGCGTTTTCTTTANGACTTACCTTGAGATTATTTTTTCTACTTCCCACAAAATTTCATTAACTTCCTAATCTCGAAATGTTTTCTATCGCTCTAATTATTTCACCAACTCAAGAAAGGAGGTAAAAGATGGTTTCACTGTTTCCGTAAAATAGCTCTCACATGAATCTTGAGGTGAATTACCGCCTGAACAAACTCTAGAAAATTGAAGGAAATTAAAGTAATCGTCATTAAGCTAGGGCGAAAATCGCATCCATGGAAGTGCTTTGTTTTGTTTCTTTAAATCCAAAAGTGTTATTCATGGCGCGGACTGAACGCTCACGAAACTGAAGACGTTACCGCTTCATCGTTTTCGGTCTTCTTGGTCGTCTAAACTCTAAGCTCCATGTGATGACAACTGTGCTGAAACCCATGTTTCCAATATTTGATTGTTCCTGATCGCAAATGCCTTAGCAGTGGTATCGAAACGTAGTTCCTGTACCTCGTTCAGAATTATTTTCAATCCGTCCACTGCTCTATCTTACGGTTTCTAGTCCAACCTGTTCGTAAAGCATTGATGTCTGAGCTGTTAAATTTTAGCGTTTTCTTTATAAAACGCGTACACTCCACAGATTTCCTGACTGGCAATTTGTTGACAGAGGTACTTGAAGAAACTTTAACAGAATTCCTCCACGATTCTGAATTTATCCTCTGCATTATCCCAGTGTGTTCCCGCGATTATTTCCACTTCCAATTCTAAGACCACGTAAATTATTGATCAAGGCGTATAGATCTAGATTCTATACACCAAACTGTCAAAGGTGGGCCGGACACTTTATACTTAGGAGCGAAAATCGATGGACAAGAGCCGTTGGTGACTTAATTCCTCGGGATGTCAAACGTACGACAGAAGGACCACGAACCCGATGTTCAGAGTTCTTCACAAGAACTGTCGAAGAAAGATATGATGCTCGACGAGTTCCTAGAGCGAGCAGAATCCACTGGGCTACTCTTGCACGCGACAGGGAAAAATGAAAGATTTACTGGCGCCCGCTCGAGTCACTCGACGATCAACAGGACTACAGGTGATACAGGTGACCAAAACGGGAAAATTCTCAACCAACAGCCAAATCCACACGCAGATAGTTGGCGGACATGCATGGGTGATGGATGCGATGAGACGAATCGTATGCAAGTGCTGGTATCCGCACAGTGTGACATACATGATGACAAGATATGTAACAACTAAAAACGATAATTCTTCGTGTATATTCCTAGGAAGGACGCATATAACGTAATGGTCGAGGGCGCCCTGTAATACACGTGACATCGAACCCCATGCCTCAAGCTCACCAAGCCTTCCATTTATACTATGTCGACAAACTGGTACCAAACTTGTCGAGGAGGATAGTAGCACTGGTTCGACAGACCGACAGACCACCGCGAGTCATTGTAAAGGTCAATTATGCACTCAATCATCTCTAACGATACTTAATGTAACTTAATGCATAGGGCATCCCCCAGAGATTGATTAGCGCCGAGAGTTTCACCCTTTATCTTTCTACTTGGATACTTGAATGGTCCGTCCTCACTGCACCGGACTCCTTCTCAGCTTGGAAGATCCTACCGGAGAGATGAATCCCCCCACTGTATATCGCAGCCCGACATCCAGGAACACCTCCAAGCCACGATGAGGCAGTAAACAGCTGGGAGCCCTTTATCCTTTTATTCGTGACAACTGAAATTCAGACCCAAGTAACAGAAAATTTTACCATCTCTGTCAAATATTACAAGTATTGAAATACATAAATGAATAAACAAACATATCACCAAACAAAAACACACCTAGGAAAAAGGATTCTGAATGATGTTGTACATCAGTGGAAGAGCGTGATTTTGGGCGTCGCTGCATTTCGCAAGTAGCGGCCGACGAGAACAAATGGGCTGGCCCCGGTAAACTAAACTTTACTTGTTGTATAACGTATCAGTAGCCTGATTATGGTTATAGCCAGTTCTTGCTAGAAGTGCATAAGAAAAATTAACGGTTAGTCGACAGAGTACCCTCAATACGACCTCAATATGAATCATAAGGACGAAAACACTGCATAACTCAGTTAACAAGCTACCATATGAAATATATGCCTCTCTGCAAACAACGCTCAGAACAGAAATTTTTATCCATCAATAGGAAAATGTTCTGTCTGCAATAATGTATTATCGTTAGAAAACAGCTATTTTTTAAATAAATACCGTCAAATTTTCCGGTGACTCTTGATATTATGATTTATTACTGATAACGATTCAAATTTAAGCTACACTCTTATTTAAGTCAAAAAATCGTTTTCTCATTGGTAAAGGAAACTTGTCACTTGAAACTGTCAGTTTGTTAAGGAGTGTCAGTTTCATTCGGCTTCAGATTTTAAATTTTTTTTCCTAAATTGAGTTTTAATTCAAGCGAACCTATTGCGCAACTCCACTTTCCTCCTGTTGACATTCTTCAAATAGTCTTCGTACCAGTTCTCTTCCTTTGGCTCAGACTTGTGTTCTCCAGTGGCACCCACACGATTGTTCCTCGTTAACATGTGGACTTCTTCAAAGTTACTTTTTAGAACCATTAGACCTCCACTATTCAACTTATACGGCTCGTTCTCCAAGTGACATCGTTTGTCTTCGTCTGCGTATGAACTGTGCGCAGTATTCCTTTCCAGCTGGAACGAGCGTCTATTATTTCCAAATTTTGAAGTGGAAATTATAGATAAGTTAACAATTACTATAACTACTGTATTGAATGCGAATTTCCCTGCAATTAGCAGATCTGCATGTGAAGCCTGCTTAACCAAGTAATGTGAGGTAATATTTTCTTCATTTTCTGGCGAAGGTCCAGACATAACTTAGTTTCATGCAAATCTACCTGTGTATTACGGTGCTTATAGAGATATCGTACTAGGTACTAAATGTAGAACCTTCCAATAGTTTCGTGATTTTTTTGAATTTGCTGAACTACTTTATAAGACAAATGTGATAAACATATTTTGCAGAAAAAAAACTCGTTGCGTCATAGAAATCGCTAACATAAATTTTAAAAAATACTAGAGCTGCAAAGTTCCAGGATCTCTAATTATTTGAGGAATTGACCAATCTAAAAGGGAACGGAAGAAATGATTACCGGTTTTTCATTCCGAAGCACCCCCAAGAGTCTCCAGATTATAAAAAAAGGCCACAAAGTACACAGAAATAACATATGCTGCTCCCATACCATATAGGACCTGTTCTGTGAATCCGATACAATAGCCTTCGTCTCCACCGTTTCGCTCTTATCATAAACCTTGTATCCTTGCAATATACCATTCTTTTCTTCACTTTTAGGATGCCCACACTCTCTTTCAGGCAAGTAGTCCACTTTGCCAGCTTTACCTTCCATTTCAGCCATCAGTTTAAGTTGAAGATGAGCCACCTAAATGAAACACTAGAAACGCAGTTGTTGGAAAAACAACAGAACATCATGACCTGAAAGATGATGAGTAAGTGGTTTTTATGCACCCATTACAGTTCCAATAAAAAAATCTAACTACATTACGGGTTTACGATAACACAAGCCGACTAGGCTTAAAGTGCACCTAACGACCCTTTCTATATATAGCATATTATTTCTTTTTCCGTACTGAAATTTCCCGTTTATTGATTCTGCAAAATGAATGGTAAAAAACAGAAATTTGCACATCTCACAATTAACACCTGTCGAAATAGTACTGGAATGCTCAACGTTTCAAGAATTCGATACATTTAAAATGACTCTCCTGAAAGCCTTTTGAATGCCGCAATTCTGAGCCCGGTTGTTTACTAAATCCATATAACTACCTATATGTTTCCAAACGCCGTCTTTGATTTCTGATCAGTGACGAAGGTCGGGGCTTCGCACCCCTTTCCTCAATTGCATGATATGGGATACTCCAAGCATCGTCCTTTTGACTGTGCGTTCTATAACGCTGAGTGATCTTTGATCCTGATTACGTAGCCACCAGATTTCTGACGCATACGTTAAGCTAAGAACAATCGTGGAGTTGAAAGGTTGGCACGGAGTCGGGCGTTCTTTGTTCTCTTGACATCCTCTGTGCTCCTGAAAGCTCCACAAGCCACTCGTTTTCTTCTGCTCAACTCTGGAACTAAGTAGTTCACCACACTGATTTCCCGACCTGGACAGATGTAACTGGAGCATTCGGAGACATTCATTCTGCTGAGCTTGAATGGAGAACATGAAGTCAATCCATTGCTTATTAACATCGTTTTGTGAGATTTAATCGAAGACTAATTTTTCCGTTGGCCTTCTCAAAGACGACAAGCATTCGTTCTGCTTGGTTAATGTTTGGCTATTGGTCGCATGACGTTCTCGAGGTAAATAATTTTTGCGAGATGGCATCGCCTTACCTAAGCCGTTTTGACGTCGACGTTCATATCGTTATAGAATGGTGATATCTTAGTTGTGAAATTTTTGTACAGCTCACGAAAAATTTTTATATACTGAGACGCCCTGGCTTTCTAGGGCTTCCATGACGTCCTCTATCTCAAATAAGTCAAATGCTTTCCTTAAATCGATGAAAGGGGAACAGAGCGGTCTCTTGTACTCTCAAGAAACCTCAATGAGTTTCTTTCCGTGTAGTTGTAGTCGATTGTACTCAAACCACTGGGAAACTCTGCTGGCTCACATGGCTATCCCTCGCCCAGTGCTCTCTTAATCTTGTATAGGATGATTCGAATGACGAGTTTATAGATGACACATAGCAAGCGCATTGGTCAACAGATGCCAATATCGTGGAGGTCACCCTTCTTGAACAATAATACGGTATTTCTGGCCTTGCATTGAATAGGAACCATGCAATCTGATAGGTGAAGCGAGAATAGGCGAACCAGTGTGTTGATAAGGACTATACCGTCGGTGAAGAATCGAACAACACCATATCCAGGATATGATTTAAATAACTGAAGAACCTTTCGTCAGTCCTTGTGAACACATTGGTGATGTGTGAATAGCCTAGCCAATGTTGTGCATATAAAGTACGCAAAACGCCAGTTCTTGCATTTGCACAATGAATACAGTACATTTAGGAACAAAAGTCAATATTCTTGCGTCTTCGCAAAAAATCACACGAGAATGACATTTGATTATGTTCGCTAGTAAAAAAGAATCGATAAGCCTCCCAGCTTCGATCAACCTTTGAGAGATGCGTCATACATTCAACTTCATTGAGAATCGTTAGAGGTGATCTGAATGCATATGTGGCCTATACAATAACTCGGTTATAGCCTACCGATGTATCGAGTCGGTGCTGCCAGACAGACACCTCCCAGACAGGTCAGGCACCAATTTGCCAACGAAGTAAGGATAGAAACTTGATGAGCCTGGAGCGCGGGATCGATCTCCTGTGTATTGCAGCGCACCTCTAACCACTACGCCACACGTAACTCTATTCCGTAGTACAGAACGAAAGCACATGAAAAGTTGATAACTTCAAGTACAGCCGAATGGAAGCTAACCGAGATCCTGAAGACTTCCTACTGCCTGCGTAGAATGAGCTGAATTCTACTAGAATAGATGTCTGTTTTATAAAGAGAAACTACTTTGATAAAAGTGTAAGTGGCTACACGTTGGAGACGGTCTGTTTGGAAGAAACAATGTAAAGCAAATGGGAATTATAGAAAGGACGAAAACTGGAATAGTGGTGAATCCAAAGCGGCAGAAGACGGCTGTAGAAGCCAAAGACGTGTTCTTGCAACAAATAATAAATTTTGTCAAGCGCAATCAAGAATGAACTTGTGTAGAGCTGACCCAATTTAATTGCACTTCTGTAAGTGAGCTCGTTCTTCTTATTACAGCGTACGAAAGTAGACCCAAAACCTAGTTGGACTGAGGCCGTTCTTTTTTTTGAGACAAGCGAAACGAAAAACTTGCATGGAGTGGGGGTGAACGCGTTAGCACCCGGAAAGGGTAATAGCGCGTTCGTTCCCTACTGCAGACACCTGCGGTCCGGAGTTTTGCAAATATCTCAGCATCACAATGTTATACCTTTTTACTTTCTGCCTATTATAATTTCGCGGCAGGGTACTAAGCGAAATACAACCACAACGTTTTGCAAATATCTCAGCAACGTTGTGGTTGTATCTCAGCATCACTGAAGTCATGTTGTACGTGTTTCGAAAGCATGGCAAGATAGATAGGAAAACAGAGAGAGTAGGCAAGAGATGAAAAACCCATTGGTCACCTATGAAGAATACGAAAAATATCGAACTATGATGCAACAAAAAGAGCAGCGTCATTTGCTGGAAAGAAAGAAGAGAGGGGAAATGCTAGAGGTACTTTAACTGAGGTGCATCACATGTGATTCACCGCGAGGGCGACCAGAAACTAGGCATCGTCTCCAGTGTGTTAAATTCAAAATTCTTTTCCTTACAACAAAATTCGAAGTTCTACTTAATAGTTGTATATAACAGTGCTTAGTTTGAGACAGTTACACTTAGTTCTGTGGTGCACCGAGAAAAACCTTGGCAAACATGTCACATTGAAATTAATGAGAAAAGACCAACAGACCTTCTCAAGTTCAGTATCACTAAGTCCCTTAATGGAATCTTTTTTTGCAATGAGTGCGGAATCTCTTCCGGATGAATTCTCAGACCACTCCCTTACTTCTGATAACAACGATGTCTTGCCTCCAACACTTTCTCCTGAAGGATAGAAATAGGCACGAGAAGTTGAAAAAGCACATAATTTGCAACAATGTATTATACTAAGATAGTAAGCACGCCTTGTGACCACCTGAGATTCGCGCCGCCATAGTCCTAGGAACAGGCGATGACGGAGAGCGCCAAGAACTTAAAAAAAAGATTAACACAAAACCAGCTTGTACATAATTATTTTTTGACTTGAAATATGGATAGAACCAACATAATTCACAGTTTTCTTAGTGAACAAATGAGAGGTTGCTATTTTACACCTTATTCACAAGAAAAAAACAGCTTTCGGCGGATTTCGTCCTCTTCAGCGCATGGAAAGGCCAAATTGATCGCAAGTTAGTCATGCCAAACAAGCCAAACAACTCCATAACCAAAACAGAAAAAAACACAAACCCAAATTTTAACCGATTTGAAAACAGAGTAGCTACTTCGCACACTCACCACTTTCTAGGAGTCTTCCCTAAGTATTCCACTTAGAGACCAACCGCAGAAAACTCACATGGATGGGTATACCATGAAGCTATTTATTTTGCTCCCAATGCGACTGAAATCTTGGTCTCGGTGTTTTTTCTGTTTAAGTTGGGGTATGGTGTACGTTTGGCTGAATAGATTGGAATTAAATCAACCTTTTAGGGTTCTGAAGAAGACGAAACCTACTTGAACACCAGCTTTTTGTGAATAAAGGGTAAAACGACAATCTCGTGTTTGCTCGCAAAGGAAAAAACCTAATTATTTGAACAATACCGAGGTTAGTAGAAAAACGGTTTTGGGAAATACTGAAAACCAGCATACTTTTCATTTCTCCAATCTTCGTTTCGCCGAGGTAATGTCTCCCCTTCAATCACCCAAGGATTACAAGGAGGAGATTTCTAGAAGTTTTTGTATAAAAACACTAAATACATCACAAAAGACATGTAGAGATATACGTACCCAAGGCTTTAGACCACCACTCTTCCACGATCTGGAAAATGCACAGTCATCATACTAGAAGAATAGTAGCATTAAAAATAACAATGATAAAGGCAACGATGCTGGTAGCATCAATACTAATAACGATAAGGACTTTAGTAATAACAACAGCAGGAGTATAAAAATGTTTGATAATAAAAGCGTGATCTTTAGTAAGACTGATAAACATTCATTCAGAAATCAAAAACGGTATTAGAAATATATTAAAACACAAAAATATAAGGCTGACCATACTTTGATTTGTACGTTTATGCAAACATATATGTATATGTACATATGTGTACATACATGTACATATACAGGTACATATACGTACATGCATGCGGACACAAACGTGTGTATACATACATAGTATGTATCTAGCGCATCTAGTGGAATGGTTAGGTGTTCTAAAATACACACGTGTTCGTTGATACTTACTTGAATGGTCTGTCCTCACTGGTAATTTCCATCCGCCGGAGATTTGCTGGTTTAGCCATTGTGTTCTCCTGGAGTCCCGAAGACAGAAGTCTACCCCAGGTCGTCACCACCACAGATAGTCACCGCTTTTGTGGATCAAAGGGTGATTTGCCACCATGTCACTAGTCTGATACGACGGTGCGGGATCCTGGTATTCGCTTACTCTCAGTTGGGCTACCTGATGGAAACTCCAGATTCCCTCTCAGATCGGGAGACCCAGCCAAGGGATGAATCCCCCACTGTAAATCTCAGCTCGACACACAGAACACCTCCCAGTCATGATGAGGCGGTGATAAACCGTTAGCTCGTTGATACAATCACACGAAATTGCTCAACAAGCTTACCATCTATCCGGGGTCCGCAAATTATTACCAGACTGTTTGAGAGAAGAACAGCACTGATTCAGTAGGAGACTACAAGTCATTCTATAGGCCAAATATATATTTAGTGATGATGCCAGATAAAGTCAAATGCGTGGCGCATCCCTGAGGAATCAGTAAACCCCGAAGTCTATCTTCTAACCATATATGTGTATGTATCTAAACGCGTATATGTTTGTATATAAATAGAATAGAAAATGTGATTCACCCATGAGAACTATTCTGTGTGGTGCGTGATCTTCGTGTAAAGTCCGATGAACGCCAGTCTTCATCTAAACATGAGACAAATGTCATCATCACATCACAGTATTTTAAATAAAAAAGGAAAAAAAAAGGATAAAGAAAGAAAGATAAAACTTTTAGTGTTTATCAATTCCTGAGGGATGGTGCACCATGCATTCGACTTCAGCAAGGATCTTTACAGGTGATGGAATACACATCTGGCTTATAAATTAACTCGCGGTGGCCTACCGATGTATCAAGCCAGTGCTGCTATCCTCCCAGACAGGTCTACTATCAATCTGCCGACCTCGGACGAACGGCTTGGTGAGCCTCGGACGCGGGATACTACCCGCGCCTTTTGTAGAGCACCTCTAACCACTGCGTTATACCCGCCCAACAAAACGAAATAGGAAGTAGCCAAAAAATGAATTCACCACGGCGAACGGAAGGGTGCTGAGTGGCACGTCTTGTACACTGTTCTTCCGAAATACGGTTACCAGAATGAGTCCGCCCTGTCTAAATAAACTAAGTAACAGATAATTAAAAATAAAACACCTCGATATAAAGTCATCACAGCAAAGAAATAAACACTACAGTAAGAACAAGAACCAAACGCCTTAAGGTTTTTTTGAGAAGAGGAAAAAAACAGAGTTGGAAACGAACTCAATTTTCTTCATCGTTTCACAATAAGGAACGTTTAGAACAAGAGAGGAGTAAAAAATGAGTTGTAAATATCTCTTATAGAATTAGCAGTGGCTATGAGGTTATAACTTGAAGATGTTTTCCAAACATCGTGGAGTAGCCAGCCTAGCCTGAACACAGAAACACTGACAACAGGAAACCACCCAAAGGTTTACACCTTCATCATGGCTGGGAGGTGTTCATGGGTGTGCGGCTGCGATGCACAGCGGAAAGATTCATCCCCACGCAAGACTTCTCAAGCTAAGAAGGAGTTCAGCGTTTCCATTACGAAGCCCAGACAAGAGTAAACCAGTACCAGGATACACCCCTCAGGTCCAAAACGGTAGCGACTGCCCGTGGTGGTGAAGACCTGCTCAAACTTTGGCTAGGTAGACATCGGAGCTCCAAGGAACCACCATGGTGTGCCTAAACCAGGAAAACAAAAAATTGGAAATTATGCTGGCATCTGCACAACCAGTGAAGAGGGCCATCCATGCGTGTACCCAAGTAATATCAGTGAAAGCTGGTGCAACTATCGGAGATTAATATCTCGCTCTACTAATTCCTATGATTTGTAGTGTTTTGGCGACAATAAGATCGTTTAAGAGCGGAAATTTTCGTAGAAAATTGCCATTATAGGTTGTTACTTAGGAAAAAGATGTCGAATTGAGCAGACTCGAAACCAATTTCAAAAGCAATCTGGACGTAAAGTCGGAAGAGAGAAATATCTGCTTGTCGCCCTTCCAGCCAAGAACAAACAAATGAAAAGCCTGACAGAAAGCCAACCATTTCGAAAAAAAAACATAGGAAGAAAAATTCGAGAGAACAATCCGAAACAGAAGTCATTGTATTTAACGAACCTGTTCTCGATACGAGGTGTATCGTCGATCACCATCTGGACCTAAATTGTGCCAAAATTTCATATATAAGGAGATACTTATCAAACACAAATGATACTTACCGCGGTAAGAAGAAGGCATAACAAATTTCTTACAAATCGCCAGAAGGGGATCAACCTAAACTGATAAAATTTGAGAGTAAAGCAACAGATGTGGCGCTCATCCCGTTATATGAACATTATCGCAAATCACTACAAAGAAGGAAAGGAAGCGAACTCCTTCCAAGCAAAAAGGTTTTTTCAGTCCAATATGTGAAATAGTTCCGTTCCCTTCCGGACAACTGTTACTGACACTGGTTTTGGAAGATCTGTATGAGGAGCATGAAACTGATGTCCAGTCATAAGAACGTAGTTTCCTGGAATCCTGCGTCCACTATATTCCCAACAATTATCAAGTGATTTGACTGGACGTCTACAAAGTCTTTACTCCTTCGTCGTTTGCCACAGCTACCCTCTGGGCTCCTCGCACGAGTGGTACTGAGAATCCCACGATTTTGCATGGGTACTCATGGTCACTATGCCTTACAAAGCTGTAAGAGCTAGGTGTTCAAATAGGGACTTGTGGAGTTCAAGTGAATCAGATGTGGAAGCTGTTAGCCGAGGGCAAATCAGGAGAGCCTACCAGGCATTTCCTAGTCACTGTAGGATCTCTGCCCAACAGACGTGAACGGCGGAAAGGACGGAGTCCCCTGCACTCAAACATACGACCAGAAGTGAATAGGACTACATATGGTACAATTCGTCCACCGGCTCCAGGCTAGCATATGTGTCAGGTTCATGACCTTGCCTACAAGTTGCCAAGACCCCACGTACCTTTCCATCTGACCGGCTCCAAATACTATGATAAGAGGACTTCAGAAGATCAATTTATCATGCATACTTAGAACAATGTTACTAGATATGAAATTTGCGGTAGAATGATGCCTTTTCATGGTTTGTAGCTCCCTCGTGAAAAGATATGTTACTGGATGTTGGACTTCAATGCACAACATGGGCTTCATCCTCGAGAAGCTGAACAGTTCTACAGCTCTATCTGAAGCCTAGAGAAATGCAAACCAACGTCAACAACTGCCACGGTCATGGAAAGGCTAATCAGAAGCCAACAGAATATCCGAATAGGAGGCAGTGAGTGGGGAAACGCACAACATAGCCCGGGAATACAAGTAAAGTGATGATCCAACAAAGTGCCAGGCTAAGCTATGATAAAGAGCTTGGTATTTACAAATACGCCAATTTAAGCACTTAAGGAAGACGACAACAGTCAAGGAGCAACGTCGTGGACCACAGAGGAACAGTTGTCGCGCCTGCATTCAAATAGGATGGAGTAGGTCCCAAAACGAATGCTTCACACGATACTACGGATTCAAACAGGAAGAATTTTCGAGCAAGACGTCCCTGGTCCGGCTTTTATCGGATTGGCCCCTGAAACCGTAGGGGTGTCTCGCTCGTGTTTGATTCGTTTTGAAAACTACGGCGATTTGTTAGAGAAGAGTGCTCTTTGTCGGTTTAGAACTTGTGGTTCCGGTTGAAACCAATATTTATGAAGCGTTTTAGTTAAAGTTAGAGATGATGCGAGGTGCGAGTCAACAGCCAGTCATCGTGCTTAGCCAAGCAACGAAAAGAGAGAGTGGTCATCAGGTCCAAATAGGAAACATTATGGCTTGTAAGGTTAGTATCTGGTGCCCTCGAAACCTGTATTTAGTTAAAATTTTGTTGGCCTACCGCCGTCAACCAGGCCTGTGATGGCCCATCTGATGGTCCTATTTAGACCATTGCCGATGTAATTCGTACAAGTCTTGGTCCACGTGCAATGCTGAAAATGCTGATGGATCCGATGGGAGGCATTATCATGACAAACGACGGTAATGCCATTCTGAGGTTTGGGCTTATCGGTTAGCTCTTTTTGCATTAACTGATATCTTGGTGTAACCCTAGTAATTTTAGAGAGATAACTGTCAAGCATCCTGCTGCTAAAAGTATGATCGAAATTGCAAGGACACAGGTTGGTAGCTTTGGGATATGTTTCCTTGGTACTGGTTCATTTTGTTCCAGTTTGTATAAAAATATTGTTCACGGTTGAGCCAATTCATGCAGCAAAGCAGATCTTAAGAACTTTTATCACTTACTTGCATTAAGGATGAAGAAACAGGCGATGGGACCACATCGGTGATTGTGCTTGCTGGAGAAGTGATGGCACAAGCTGAGCCATTCCTAGAGCAGAAAGTGCATCCGACCATCATAATCCAGGTTATGCTGTGCTGTGTGCGATTTAATTAGCCTCTCATGGGTGGTATTTGGGTAAATACGTACATGTGCGTATATACACACGTATATACTTGGTTACTTGGATGGCCCGTCCTCACTTGTTGTGCGGGTCCTGGCATAATCTCCCACTTTTCGGAGTTTTGCTGGTCTAGTCACTGTGGTTTCTTGGATTCCCGAAGTCAGCCTAGCCAAAGTCTGCCGCAGGTCGTCTCCACCACAGGCAGTCGCCGCCCTTATGGGTCAAAGGAAGATTTGCCATCATGCTGCTAGTTTGATACCAGGACGGTGGGGGATCCTGGTATTGGTTTTCTCTGGGTTGGGCTTTCTATTAGGAATGCCGGACTCCTTTTCAGCTTGGGTGACTTGCTGGGGGAATGATCTCCCCGCTGTTGAGCGCAGCCCGACACCCACGAACCACTTCCCAGCCACAATAAGGCGGTAAACCGTTGTGAGCACATGTATATACGCACTATATGTACATATATGACTAAGACTATGATTGCGCTACTATGGCTTTACCAAGTCGTCTCTAAAACAGTCATGGACCGTTGTAAATGGGAGTGTGACTTACCACTTTGGGATCACATCTTTAGTTCACGAGTAGCTAGGTTTCATGGTGAAATTGACGAGCTTCTCCTTAGCTTGGGTATATTGTTTGATGGTCTAGTATATATTGCATCTCACCACTTATGGATGGGTGGAACGTATAACGATATGCGGGCTGATCGCATAAGGAACATATTTGAATTGTGCTTAAGATGAGCATTGATTAGTGTTTTTATTTGTCTTTGCATTAAGTTAATGTGTAAAAGAAATGTGTTGAAACTGACACTGTTTGCTGAGAAGTGGTGCTGCCTGGAGGCAGAGTTGTGCTCATGATCTTATCGTCTGTCATTACATTGAATTCCTGTATTCAGGCTTATCGAGCTGCCTTGGAAGACATAATCAATCTTGCCGAGGAAAAGTTTAGTAAGTCAGTGGACGTCAACAGTGACAAAGAGGTTGTGGCTATTTTCATCTTAAAATGTATAATTTTGTACTACTTACTGCTTTTTTTTATCTTTCAGATTATAAGCGTTATAAAGTCATGCCTGGGAACAAAGATGTTGAGCAAGTGGATGGATCTTGCTGTGAAGATATCACTGGATGCTGTCAAAACTATTAAAGTAGATAGGGGTAATACAAGTGAAATAGATATCAAAAGGTGAACTCTTCTCGAAAGCTTCTTAGGCTTCTTGCCGCAGTTTAATCTGTTGTTATCAAAACGCTGTGTTACCATAACCATAATTTTGTTTCTACGTACAATCAGGTACTGTCGCATTGAAAAGATCCCTGGTGGTACAATTGAGGACACCAAAGTAATAAGTGGTGTCGTTCTTAACAAGGTTAGAAAGCATGGTTGAAGCTATTTCTAACTTATTTGTTTCCACTTCAGTAAAGTACCTCTGTCAACTAGCATGAAAGAAATTTAGGACGTCACTCATGCCAAAATGCGACGGCGTATCGAAAGTCCTCGTATTGTTTTGCTCGATTGTAATTTGGAGTACAAAAAAGGCGAATCGCAGACATCACTAGAGATCATGAATGAGGCGGATATCAGCAAAATCCTTGAACAAGTAAGTTGGGTTCTCGTTACATGACGTCTTTGCGTTGATTATAAATGGGGTTTTAGTTGAAATGGGATGAAGTGCTTCAAATTTGTATCCTACGGTGGATATGTTCTAGTGATAGGGGCAGTTTTGAGCACCTCGTAATATCCCAAAGATGGTCGCCTTCCCTACTAATTTTGCAATACGGCCCTTTGTCTATGAATTCTGCAATGAAGTACGATAAATCTTTGGGAGGTGATTTTGGGTCTACGTGAGATACCCTCACTTGTGGAATTTGTATATTATGTGCACTCTTTCTAAAACGATGACTTTGAGGAGGAGGAGTCGATTCGGAAGCAGTGTGATGATATTATCAAAGTGAAGCCTGATTTGGTGTTTACGGAGAAAGGGATTTCTGATTTAGCCCAACACTTCTTACTTAAAGCAGGTATTACCGCAATTCGGCGTTTGAAGAAGACGGATAATAACAGACTGGCGAGGTTAGCTTTATACTTTGTGGTTGTTGTTTTTGTTTACTCTAAGTTAATTGATAAAGGTCTGGTTAACTATAATTACTGTTCTTATTATTATTGTTATTATTATCATTATTATTAATTATTATCCTTATTGTCATTATTTTTGTCATTAAATAAATAAAGCTTTCGACGCTGATAAATCCCTGAGGGACATGCCATGCGTTCGACTTCATTAAACGTCTTGATAGGTGATTGAATACATATCTGGTTTATACAGTCACGCATGTTGGCCTATCGATGTATCGAGCCAGTGCCGCTATCCTCCCAGACAACTCTGATACCAATTCGCCGATCCAGGGCCCCTGAGGGATCAAAGGCTTGGTGAGCCTGGGGAACGAGGATCGATGTGTATTACCGGTAGCCTCCGACCACTGCACTCGCTTCACGCGCCCCTTAATTGTTATTAGTTACTTTCAATTAGTTTTTATTATCATGATTACTGTTGAGACGCCCTGCAATACACGTGGGATCGACCTCGCTCCATATCCACCAAGCCCGTTATCACTCCGGGTTCGGCAAACTGTTGCCAGACCTCTCTTTCGAGGATAGTTGGATTGGCTAAATATATTGGTAGACCACCGCGAGTCATTGTAAAGGCCAGGTATGCACTAGTCACCGTCCATGCTTAATGAAGTTGATTGCCTGGCGCATCTGTCAAGGATAGATCAACGCAGAGAGCTTTATCCTTTGTGGTTTTTATTACTGTCACTATATTATATACATTATACTTCCACGTGATTTCTGTGCGGTTGGTCTCTACGTGACATACTTAGTGGAAACCTTATAGAAAGCTGCTCTGAAGAAGGCGAAATCCGCCGAAACGTGAGCTTAATCGTGAACAAAGAATAGTAACACCTCGCGTTTGCTCAACAAAAATACGAAGACAATCACTTGATCAATGCCGAGGTTAATAGAAAGTCGGTCGTGGCAGTTACTATATTATATCATATTTTCTACTATTACTATTATCACCAAATTTTCATCATTGTTGTTACTAATTACCACTGTCATTTTTTGTCACTATTGCTATTTGTTATTATCGTCACCATTATTATTACTATTATCATTATTATTATTGCTGTTATTATTATTATCGTTATTGATATTATTATTATTATTATTATTATTATTATTACGTGACATGACATCTCGTGTATCACAGTGTACAAATCACAGCCTTTCTTGGCTTCGATTCGTTCCTTCGCATCTACCACCTAGGAAGGTCTTCGAACTTTTTGCATGTGTCGTTGACTGCTGCTTCAGAGTTTTTTCTTCTTCGATAGAAATGTCGTTCAATGCTAGCTGTGTCGTTGCTCGTTGGGATCCTTAGATAGCCGTACTGGAGCATGAATTAGAGGGAGTCAGCTTGTCACTGACTAATGTGTTGCCAGTTTCCCGATCCCGTAGGCGTAAGAGGTTTGGATGGCACGGGGCGGCATCGAACCAGTGCCTGGATAGGCTTAACCGGTCGCGGAATGAACGAGTTCACTACCTTTTTACTTTGAAAAAAAGACGTGAAGTTACCTTACACGGCTTGTAAAAGTGGAACGTCAAATCAACACCTGTTATGTTCAGTAGAAACCAGTTATTATCTTTTCACACTTCTTATTTTAGAGTGTGTGGTGCTCGAATCGTAAACGATACTACCGATCTGCGTGAACAAGATGTTGGTACCCAAGCGGATCTTTTTGAGGTCACGAAGATTGCTGATGAGTACGCTTTCAATTTCTATATGTTATCATATCTGTATCCGCACGTCCATCTTTCCTGCTAAGGTGGAAGTCCATCTTTCCTGCTAAGGTGGAAGTCTGGACCTGTTTCTAGATTTACTATCTCCTTCCTCATTGAAATTCAGGTACTACACCTACGTTACGTCTAAAAAAGCCACTGCCTGCACTATTGTCATACGAGGTCCTTCAAAAGACGTTATTAACGAGGTTAGGATGGTCATCTTTAGAAGAACTTTTATTTAATGTTCGCAAGATATTTTTGCTTAGGTTGAGCGGAATCTACAAGATGCAGTGCACGTTGCACGAAATATAATGTTGAACCCTCGCCTTGTTCCTGGTGGAGGAGCCCTTGAGATGGCTCTTGCACAGGTAACTGTCAATAACAGTTCGCGAATATTTAGTACTCGCGGTACTATGTTAACAGTTAATTTAGGCTATCACAGAAAAAGGAAGGTCTATGGAGGGGATTCGTCAGTGGCCATACAAAGCTATTTCTAGGGCTCTCGAGATAAGTCTTTACTGTTTCTGTTTAGGTGTAGCTGCATATCAATCTTTTTGCAGACGATTTTCAAAGAGTTGTGATTTAGGTTATTCCACGCACCCTCATCCAAAATTGTGGTGGTAACACAATTCGTCAATTGACGGCACTTCGTGCGAAACATGCACAAAGTCCTGATAACTGGACGTGGGGAATCAATGGAGCGACAGGCGAATTGGTAGGCTTATATATCTTGATTGAATCGCTATGAATAAGCATTGATCAATTTGAACAGCAGTTTTGAAATGCTCTAGCTCGGCTCAAACGAGGCTTTGTTAATCAACATGAAATCATTTAAAATCCAAACATTTTTTCGGACAAGAAATTAGTTTCTTGGTCCTGGAATGACAAAATAATGAAGTTTTTCAAGCGATAAATCCGGGTTTGTTGATGTCTTCAGCAGAAGCTTGGTTGTTCAGAATTTCTCTGGCTTTAGTTGTCAAGATGCTGACTGCTGAAATTTTGTGGCATCCACTTTTCATCGTACGTGAGGATGCAACAGGGAAAAGGATTTTTTCAAGCGTAGAGGAAACAAAAGGCAAACCTTTTACCGGGGATTTTCCTGTCATTGCTTGATTTTATGCGACACTCGTGTATCGATCTTATCGTCTTTCTGATGTCTTCCAACTGCCGAACCATTGTTGTGTGGCTTCTGATCTTTTCTCAAGTCCTTCAAGTAGTTGTGAGATCGTCTCGTCGCTTAAAGCGTTGTGGTGGTTGTCAGCAATTGTTATTGAGATACAACACGCTCTTTTTACCCATCGAGACCCGTGGTTCCGATGCAAAACTTTTCGAGTCATCTGAACATTGCGCATTCTGAAGCGCTTCAATTGCTCATGATTTGAAGTCGAGTTGTTACTGCTACTGTTTTTCCACAGTTGAATTCACGAGACGAAACAACGCGGTTTGTTATCCTGAAAACTTCATTTCAGCCAGTCCAAAGTAATTGAAACATGGGGAATAGGTAACGATGAAATAGGGTTTAAAATGCTACACAACGGCAATGAGAGCATTAAATTTTGCATAACGAAAGGCATTTATAAGATTCGTAACGGCAAACGATTTCTTTACGACTCAGTATGACTTGTTACTTTTCCATTATTAACTTATAACCAGTTGTATAGATAAGTAATGTTTTTTTAAACGAAGTTTCTCACCAACCACGTGCTAACTTGGTAATGAATCAAGATCAACAATGGTATTCAATGGCAATGCAGAGCGCACATTATTTCTCTGTAACGTGCCTTGTTTTAGGTCGACATGTGTCGCTTGGACATCTGGGATCCATTAAGTGTTCGTACGCAAGTGCTGAAGACTGCAATAGAAACATCGGTAGCGTTTTGCACTGTTCAATATATTTATCTACGTCTCATGAAACAGCCGCACTGAACATTCTGGGCTAAATCTCAGCATGCATTTCCAACCCGAACTGTAATCTTTACTAATAAATTAGGATATAATACAACATATAAGCTAAAAATAAATTTTGTTGTTTTTTCTTGTTAGTTGTAAAGTTTTGTCTCATGTATCTACTCAATAGGACGCGTGTAGCGCAGTGATAGGAGGCGCCCTGCAATATACATGGGATCTATCCTCTCGCCCAAGGCCCACCAAGCCTTTCATCCCTCCGGGGTCGGCAAATTGGTACGAGACTTATCTGGGAGGATAGCAGCACTGGCTCGATACATCGGTAGCCACCGCGAGTCATTGTAAAGGCCGGATATACATTGAGTCACCTCCAACGATGGTTAATGAAGTCGAATGCATGGCGCATCCCTCAGGAATAGACCAACATCGAGAGCTTCATCCTTTATCCTTTATTTATTTACTCATTGATTATGCTAGGTGTTCTTGCATAGAAACAAGTAAGAACTCCTTGATCTTTGCTTTTATAATTTTTTTCTTTGAATTTCAACATGGAATTCGTGCCCATTTATCCATTTTCTCTTTGAATACCTAATTTTTTTAGATCCTGTTTTTCAATTACTTTTTCAATTGCAAACCACTGTGGCTTTTTTCGATCGCAAACTGCTGTGGTTTTCATGTATTCAAAAGGAAACATGTTTTTTTACTTCTAGGTTATGCTATTGCGTATCGACGACATTGTCTCTGGGACGAAAAAGTCACAGAAGGGAGATAACCAATCTCAGGCAATGCCTGAGTAGTTGTGAAATACGCCAGCTTTTCTCATTCTTTCACGACTGCTTCAAATTTGCTGGTTCTACTTTAGATTAATTGTAAAATAGTACTAGCCTTCGTTGGTTTGGCGTTTTAAGTACTCGGTTTGAGCAGACCGAATCACCAACGTTGTATTTCGTAGCTGTTCTTGTTTGTTTGTTTCTTTCTTTCTTTAATAAATGGCGTTATAAATGTTGCTTCAATAGAACTTCTCTTGTATGCAGTGTTAGGATGTCCGATACTTACCTTCTCTATAGTATTTACCTTAGTTTCACGACCAGTGTTCAGTGCTTTTCTCGCTGTTTCGATATTATCAGTTGGAATTCATCAGAAATGGGGATTTTTCTGTACTGGAATTGGTGACTTCATCTTCCTTTGTGGACCGTGGCGTTAAATTGTTATGTCTACACTGACTACTGTGATACGGTTGAATTCGTAATTACACGGAGGCGCTTTAGCTTATTCACTGCACCGCTGCGGCCCTTGTTTTGCCTCTCCATTATCCACCCAGAAAAGCTGGTGCAGGATGGTCGTAAAATTGCACCATTTTTTGCCTTTGTTACGGAATACATCTCTTGGTTCATAGTAGATTTTATTGATCAAAGTAGAACGATCTGGATACACCATCTCTATCAAATTTCGCGGCATTGTATAAAATCGCTGACTTAATGGATTTCTTTGGAGTCCTGACAATAGGTGTAGCTTTCTGTTGTGATGTTTTCGCCAGTATTGTAGGAATTATGGCAACTGATCCCATCTACTGAGGACTAAAAGCGGCTGTAAGCTGTTTGGTGGTCCAGTTTTTTCCACAATTGCAGGAAACGTCGGTTGCTGTGCAAAAACTATCTCAGTTTTATGTCGCAAGATCTAAATAAGGCATAAGTCGTCAATGTGGAAAAAGCGGATGGGCAGAATCCATGGCAACTGTTTCCTTGGAATTTATTCAGTTCATGAGGGACTGTTATGTCGTACCCTTCCAAAAATATTTCATCTAGTTGAAGTCTTATTTAAGTCTTCTTGAAGTCTAGGGCTAATCTTTCCGTATATTTCGTAAATTTCTGGGTATAGGTAGCGCTGTGGTTAAAGGTGCCCTGTAATACAGGCGTGGTCGTTGTTTCTATACCTCCTAGGACTCACAAAGCATTATATCCCTCCGAGCTCGGCGAATTGGTACCGGTTTTGTCTGAGAGTGAAAACTAACTTAATACATAGGTTGGCCATCGCAAGTATATATATACGGGGCAGATATACATTCAACTTCAAACTCTAAAGCTTTAACAATGCTTAAGTTGAATGCGTGGCGCACCCCTCAGGGATTGATCAACGTCGGGAACGTTGTCTTTTATCTTTTATTTCATGAACCCACCCTAATTATTAGCTTCAATTTGTCGTCGTTGGTGACAGGAAGTGGCCTCGACATTTTGTTCTTTTTTAAGGCTATCGTGTCTGCCGCGAATCTTGAGATCAGTATTATGTCTGATGTTTATTTTCCAGCTGGCACAATATTGAGCTGTTTCGGAAAATTTTTGTCTGAGTTTTGATTTCCACAAACAGTGCACAAATTGGCACATTTCGTTTTCATCTCGGTTGTTCGTCCTCAGAACAATTTAATGTAAACACAGAGGGGTAGAAATGTAGCGAGAAATATGAGGAATAAACAAAGGATAAAGCTCTCGGCGTCGATCAATCCTTGAGGGATGCGCCAAGCATTCGACTTCATTGAGCATCATTGGATGTGACTCACTGAATATCTGGCGTTTACAATGACTCGAGGTGGCCTACTGATGTGTCGAGCTGGTGCTGCTGCCCTGCCAGGCAGGCCTGGTGCCAGATTGCTGATCCCGAAGAAATGGAAGGTTCGATGGGCTTTGGGCGCGGGAATCGATCTCATATGTGTTTCAGGGCGCCTCCGAGCACTGCGCTACACGCGTCCACTATAAGGTTGAGAATTCAAGTATCTACTTTAATCATTTCTGACACATAGAATTCATTAGGTCTTCTTCACGTACCGCTTTTATGTTTTTCCATACCAATGGATGTCATAGAACTACAATCACAATGATAATGAGATATTTGCAAAACTTGGACCTAAGTTAAGATTCGAACCAGCAAGTGACTGCTGGTGGAACCGTTAGGCTAAAAGACTGGTCGAGAGAAAGGCAAAGCATGAGCCGTAGTGGTGCAGAGGGTAAAAAGGGAGCCCCTGGAATGTAGTTGCTGGTTCGAATCTGGCTTGGGTTCCAACTTTTGCAAATGTTTCAGCATCATTTTCGTTCTATTTCATATAATACCTTGCCGAGGTAAAAATTACAGGCAATAAACAAAATTGGGAACACCTGTTTTATTATTTATACTTACATTTATGTAAGTAGCTACTGAGTGAATTTTGTGGGAAGTATTTGAAGTCTCTAAAGATCGTGGATTATCATAATTCAAGTCATCTATCGCTTTTCCGAGGTTCTTATTACCTATCAGTGCCCAATCGGCTTCTGTTGTTGAAAATTACGTTCTTTTTCAGTTATTTTGGTTTTTTTCTTCCAAGGAAAACTCGTCCATAGTAGAATTAAATGGATGAATGGATTTTGCTAGACGAAGTTGATGTGATTGCGCTATGGCCAAAAGAACAACAGAAGAACGTGGAGTCGTCAAAGTGGCAAGAGCGAAAGGAAGCCCTAGAGGTAGCTATCGATTTGTTTCTGATCATTATCATCTTCTTCAAATTAGATCCCACATTTGCCACCTGTATAGCCTCTGATACCTTTTGAGATTCTACTGCTTCTCGTTGACTATTTCGTTTCTGTACCTCAAATGAAGTAAATGAGGTTTATTTTTACTCTGATCACTCTCATCACCAGCAGTCTTATTTAGTACACTCGTGGCGATCCAGGATTTTAGCAACTCTGGTAGCTTTTTGTTGTGCAGAGCTGTTGAGGGGATGAGAACATGTCAGAGTGTAGTTGACGCTACGATCTATCTCCGCATGGTATAAAAGACATTATGATGTTAACTTAATTCCGGACTTCTTTAAGTTTGGAGATTCGAAAGGTTTTTTCTTGGTGACGAAATTTAAGTTTTCGAGTTTTTTTTTCTAACAATCGTAGCTCACAGAAGTCCCTCATATGAGGGATCTCGAGCCGGTTAGTCGCGAGGTTACGTGGCGCGTCCCCAGTTTGCAGTTAGGGAGTTAATCGCGGACCAAAAGCGACCTTTGCTTCCCTGAGACGAAGGTGGATCCAGGGATGAACTCCCTGTTTCTGATGCGCCGATTTGGCACATACTTCCTGTGTTTCCTAGGCGTATTCATGCATGCGAGTGTGGGTGCGTTCTTGTTTATGCGGATTGTATTCTACGAGTCAATTCGGTCAGAAGCCTGCAATCAAGTGACAGGGAAGTATATGGGAGGTGGTTAGGAGTCGCCTCCAACAAAAAAGCTCCATGTTCACTCTGGGAGAGAGTGGCAAGCTACCCGTGTGTATACCCAGCCCCTACGTTGAGAGCCCAGCAGGCTATACGTGGGTATCAAAAAAGCTAAAAACAGTTAAAGAAACGAGCCTCATTCCTCTGATCCAAAAGAGCCCCCAATTTCGCATCGTTGGGTAGGACGAGTACGGAGATGCTGTTAAAATCTCAGGGGTAATGGAAGCTGCCTGGGTTTCAAAGAACGATGGTGACGGTCTGCACCTACAATGCACGTACACTTGCATCCGAGTCCTCGATAGAAGACTTGCTCATGCAAGCAAGAAGAATAAGGAACGATGTCATCGGCCTGGCCGAGACGAGAAGACGCCAGCCTTTCAACGCCGTCTATGACACCGGAGAAGTACTGTTCTTCGGAACATGCGACAGTAGAGGAGCCGGAGGCGTTGGCGTTCTCGTTAACACGAGTTTGCCCAAGAACATCGATTCATTCGAACAACTTACAGGCCGAATCGGACGTTTACGATTAAAAAGACATGGATCAATTCCGGCTTTGACAATCTTTGTCGTTTACGCGCCGACATCAAACTATGACGAAGAAGTCGAAGCGTTCTATACGGACATGGAGACGTTCTACAGAGAAGACCATACATTCTTCAAGATCATCACTGGAGATTTCAACACAGAGATTGGACCAAGAAGAACATCTGAAGACCGTCACATTAGGACCCACGAATTAGAATGGAACGAACAGGGTGAGCGGCTATCTGAGTTTATCATCATGGCGACCAATACAATCTATAGTAACTCTCAATTCCAGAAGCCCCACCCTCAGCAATAACGAAATAGACCACATTGTAGTAAATAGAAGGTTTCGCCTTACCGATGTCGCTGTTGTCCCAAAATTCTACACGGGATCAGACCACCGTGCGTCCTTCGTGCAAGATTCTATATCTCGCGAAAAAGAGAAAAAGCCGCTAAATTCCAAAACTGAAGTCCCAGAACCACCATAAACTGGGATTTATTCAATTGATTAGTCGGCGGTTGGTAAGATGCCGCTGTCGATAACATCGACGAAGAATACGATCGGCTCATTCAACATCTTCACGCTAGCGCTATGAAAGCGCAGATTTCGAAAGTCTCCAAGAGACGTCTGTCTCCAGAAACATTCGAGCTGATACGCCAGCTGGGAATCTCACGAGGTGCAGGAAACTGCGAATTAATGTCCGAACTTGCAAAAATATGCAGACAGGAGATAAAAGAAGATTTTAAAGAGAGAAGAGCAGCAGTAATGGTCGAAGATGCAGAGGCTGAGAAAGCAGTCGCAAAGTCCCCCGATGCTTCGCCAATTACAAGACCAAGATGATTGCACTCCGACGCCCAGACGGAACAGTTACAGCGTCCTGAAAGGCAATTGAGAAAATCATTCACGAATACTACTCTGATCTCTTCGATAGCCACGTCCGCCTTCTGTCATATGAATTAAAGGAGGATGGATATGTTGTACCACCGGTTCTCCCTTCCGAAATCCGACATGCCATTACGTCCGTGAAAAATTAAACAGCTCCAAGTCCGGACAGGATATGGCCAAAACACCTGAAAAGTCTTCCGCCAGTTCTCCTAAGTACATTGGCACGGCTCTTCGCACGTTACCTGTCTGAATGCAAGGTCCCTACTCAGTGGAAAACCAGCAAGACCGTGCTAGTGTTCAAGAATGGTGACATCTGCGATATCGGCAACTATCGCCCAATCTGCTTTCTGTCTGTTGTCTGCAAACCTTTCACTTGAGTCATCCTAAACAGGATTGACAGAACACCGGAATAAGGGAGCCATGTTAGTAAGCAGTGTCTCGTAGAGCATTTAATGCAATGAACCACATCCATACCATAGCAAGACTCATTGAAGTATCGCAAAAGTACAGAAGACCGCTTTGTCGCACTTTCATCGATTGAAAGAAGCCCTTTGACCCAATTGGGATAGAAGCAGTCGTTGAAACCCTTGATAGTGAGGGAGTGCTTACTCAGTATGTAGATACTTCGTGAGTTGTACAAAATTTTCACAACCACGATATCAGCATTCTACAACGATATTAACATAGATGTCAAAAGAGGGGAAGAGTGGTTAGGCAAAGGCGATACCATCTCCGCAAAATTATTTACCGCCACCCTCCAGAAAATCATGTATGGTATGGCAACATTGGTATGGAATAACATGGAGTAGAAATCGATGGTAAGCAGTTACATCATCTATGCTTTGCTGATGACATCGTCCCAAAAATTAGCCAAGTGGAGAGTATGCTTGCCGACTTTGATAAAGCCTGTGAAAGGATTGGTTTTCGACTAAATGTCACAAAACGATGTTGATGAGGAACGATCGGTTTCATGTGCCCCATTCACGCTCAAAGTAACGAATATCTCCGAATGCTCCAGTTATGTCTATCTAGGTTGGGAAATCAACATAATGAACGACTCAGCTCCAGAGTTGACCAGAAGGAAACGAGGGGCTTAAAGAGCTTTCAAGAGCATCGAGGATGTAGTGAAAAGGAAAAAGAACACCCGACTCCTTGTCCACTTTTTCAACTCAACGGTACTGCCTTCGTTAACGTATACATCAGAAACCTGGTTGCTTCGTAAACAGGATGAAAAATCATTCAACGTTATTGAACGCACAGTCGAATGGTTGCTAGGAGTATCCCGTGTCAGGCAAATAAGGGAAGAGATCCGAAGTTCGGATGTGCGTCAACGATCAAAAATCGAAGATGCCGTTCTATACGCCAAACAGTCGAAGATGAGGTGGGCCGGACACATAATGCTTATGAATGACAACCGTTGGACAGGAGCCATTGGTGACTGGTTTCCTCGGGATGTCAAACACACTGCAAGAAGACCGCCGACCCGTTGGTCAGAGTTCTTCACGAAAAGCCTAGAAGAACGATATGGTGCTCAGGGAGTCCCTAGTGCAAGCAAATTCCATTGGGCTACTCCTGCGCGCGAAAGGGAAAAGTAGAGGATTTACTGGCATCTGCTGGATTCATTCGACGACCAACACGACTACAAGTGGTACAGGTGAGCAATCGCAGCAGCCGTGATCGGTATTTACTTTCGGGGCCAAAATTATATTCATCTGGAGGAGATCGCCATTGTTGAATCGCTGCTTCTCCATGATACCATTGCCTACGAAAAACCAGGAAGATAGAGGTATATATTCTTAACCAGATATCCGTTATATTAAGGCTGAAAGTCTTGTACATTGTTGGGGCGAAGACTTGAGGATTCTAATGCTTTTTTTGTTGTCACTAACGAATTTCCCTCTGAGCTGTGTTAATTTGAATCTATAAGTATCAATTACTTTTCGGAGCGCATAGGTTGGAATCAGTTCATGTTCAAATTATACTAATGGATTTGTTTCTTGAAGTGGGTTTTGCCATTCACCTTTGTTGGTAACGAGCTATGAGCCCATCACTCGTAACTCCCAGTTGGTGTTATGATTCGTTCTCTTCTTGGGCGCATGAGGTTGTATTCTCACTAAGTTTGATTTTGGAACAATTCTTCATTTTATAGCCATTGTTTAGTTGGCGTATGTTGTATTCAATCTTAATATGTTTACAGTGAAATGCTGTCAATACCACTTCTGAAAAAATCTTTTACTGTAATATTTCATTTCAAATTTTTACTGTTTCGTTAGCCTTCCAATGATTTATTGCCTCATCATGGCTGGGAAGGGCTCCAGGGTATCGGACTACGATGTACAGCGGGTGAATTCATTCCCCAACAACATCTCCTGAGCTCAAAAAGAATCCGGTGTTTCCGTCAAGAAGCCCAGCTAAGAGTAAGCCAATACCAAGATCCACCACCGTCCTGGTATCAAACTAGTCGCATAGTGGCAAATTTCCCTCTGATGCACAAAGGCGGCGACTGCCTGTGGTGGTGACGACTGACTTTGGCTAGGCTGACCTCGGGATTCCCAGGAACCACAATGGGTAAACCAGCGAAACTCCAAAAGGATGAAAATCAGGCTGGGCCCACACAACTGGTGAAGACGGGCCATCCAAGTATACAAGCAAGTGTCAGTGTTTCGTAAGAGTTCTTTATAAAGGAGAAGGCTAAATTCTTGTGTTTTGAATTGGTTCGACTCTAAATGGTTATGGAGTTGATTCATTCAATCGCTTGTTAGTGATTGTTTTGTCGTTTTTTTCCTGCCAGTTAACTCTCACGTTTTTTAGCAGTTTTTCTGTGTTTTTGAAATAATTAGTTGTTGCATCCTGAGTTTTTTCATCCTGCGGGTGTAATTTTTTTTTGAAATGTTATTAGAACTCCTCAGATTTACACAGACAAGATTTCTTTTGAATTTACTCAATAAACTGTATGATATTCCAGACATGTGGGCAAGTTCTATTCTTATCTTTAATATTTTCCATTAGAGTTTTGTAAAGAGAACTGGCAATTGTACGACAAACGTAAATCGATAAAACTTCATTTCAAGGTCCTTGCACAGCTTATCGAAAAGCATCCTCGATTATCAACTGTTTCAATGACGATCTATGGAGAAGTCATGGATAATCTGAAAAAGGTAACTAAAACGCTTAGAATCGTCGTAGCTCTTGAGGTCCGCTGTGTTTTCCAGATACTCGCTCACGATAGCAACATTAATGTTGTTGCTGTCGCTCTACGTGTGCTAGGGGGTCTAGCTCGTGGACTTCGGAACCAATTCTCGTGTTTCGTATCAATGGTGATTTCGTGTTGGCTCCATTGTTTTCCTTCTTTATACACGTGTTTTGCTTCGCACCGTAGGTAGCTTTAATGTGGTCACAGATATTCGACATGGTGTAACCAGAATTTTGTAATCTTGAAGTTATGAATGATAGCGTTGTTTACCCTCTCATGGTATAGGAGTGTTTCTGGGCGTCTAGCTACGGTGTGCACAACAATATTCATCGCTGGCATCGTTATCCAAATCGAGAGGAGGTTCTACATCTCGATTCGGAATGCTAGTGTTTGTACCACTGATCGCCACTTATTCCAAATAACCTGGGAATGTTTTTGTAAGTTCTAGCGTTAAGAAGTGAAAAGCCTACTCAGTGGGAACAAGACCTGCCTGAGTGTATTTGTGTGTTCTTATCTACGACGTCGGCTGGTGAGGCAACTTTTGAGAGGCGACTAAGTTTCTAAATGCAACGTTAGCAATCGGGAGTGAACCAAAACCTTGCATACAGCACACACCATGGTGGGTGTTTTTTTCACCTAAGTTGTCACGGAAATGCATTTCTGTAGAAATAAAAATGAAAGTTCATTGGACGTAGAGGTCGTCTAATGTTCTGACAGATACGGAGGCCAATCATTTAGCCTGTATCACTTCTGGCCACCGTTTAAGGTAAAAGGATGAAGTTGTTGGCGTTGATCAATTTCTGAAGTATGCGCCATGCCTCCGAATTCACTAAGCATCGTTGGAGGTCATTGAATGCATATCTGATCTTTGCAATGACTCGCAGTGGCCTACCAATGTATCGAGCCAGTTCTGCTATCCTCCCAGACAACTCTGATACCAATTTGCCGACTCCGGAGAGATGGAAGAGTTGGTGGGCCATGAGATTTTATACGTATTGCAGGATGTCTCCGACCACTGTGCTACACGCGTCTCTTATCGTTAAAAGTAGAAGAAGCAATTCGTTTATTACAAAAATGCCTAAGTTGGAACATGTCCCTTACTTTCTGTTTCTCTCATGCACACTGTTTACAATGTTAAAACTCTAGTTTTCCACAGCGTTTTTGTTGCAGTGCTTTCGTTCCAATTTTAATTTCTTTAAATATGGCATATCTAAATATTGTATGCAATTAATGTCCTTCTTTCTGCAGTATATGTAGAGCTATTATTCAAAAATGAAAAGAGCTAAAACCCCTTTAACTGGCTGTTATCTGTTGTGTTAGGACCTACAGCGGAACAGTGAGAAAAATTGTAAAATTATAAAAAGATCCAGCTGAAGGGTTGTCATTTTGTCCTCTGTGAATATCATGTTCTCCTACCTGGACAGTACAAGATTTCCATGAGTTGGAGTCGTGGAATGTATTAATTAGAAGGGTATTTGACTCTTGTGTTTTCAATTCTTAACGGACTGGGTTCTTTGCAAAAAAAAAGGTGGGATTTCTCCTTAAAATTCCATATTGAGGGCGTGTGCAGCGCTCCTGCAATACACGTGGTCTCGATCTCGCACCCAAGGTTCGCCGATCCTTTCATACCTCTTGGGTGGGCAAATTGGCACCAGATCTAACTGGAACATAACAGCACTGACTCGATACATCAGTAGGCGACTGCGAGTAATTACATAGGCCAGATATGCATTCAATCGCCTCTAAAGATGCTTGATGAAATCGAATTAACGGCGCATCCCACTAGGATTGATCAACACTGAGAGCATCATCCGTTAATATTAAAGTCCGTTTTATAAGGGCACGAGGAGTGAACCTCTTGCATTGGACAACATCCTTCCAGTTTCTTTCTTGGTGGAATTCTGGAACCAAACGCACTTCATTCCAACTGCTAAATATGAAGCAATGGAAATCGGAGGGAGCCAGATAGTACTTCGCGCATGGTTATAGTACTGAAAAAGTGGACCGAATTGATATTGGCAGCCACTTTTCTACTCGCTACATTTCCACGTTATTAGGGATCTATGCATTGTTGACCAGTACTTGCAGGACGTTCCAATTATCCGTTTGGATTCCCAGAAATAAGCTTTCTTCTTTCAAAAGATGTACCTCAGTTCAGTCTATGGATCACTAATGTCTTGGACCTTTCCAATCTTTATTCTGTCCTTTATTCCTGAAACAATTTTACACAGAATGTACTTCTATTGTAGGTATGGTCGGTTATGCTTGAAAAGGCGAAGGACAAAAAGCCTGCAGTTCAGAGTGCCCTTGGTATTGCTCTTGACGCGGTTTCAGATTCAGTAAGTGTATACCACATCATTTATCAAGTGTCCCAAGGCTTATTTTAGCCGGCAATTTATAAATAAAGAAGGAATGAGGAGTGAGACTTTGTCGATCTTTGCAGTTTTCTTACTCTTTTTTCATGGTTAATAAATAATCCGTTCATATCACTATGAACGGGAAATACCTTAACGTCTTTATCGCGCTTTAGAATTCGTTTATATTAGCGCTAAATGTATCCTACTACAGGGGACCTTGAACTTGGGTCAAAGAAATCCACTTTTACTTATCGTGTTCGCGTGTGGCGCATTGATCTGAGGCGAGCTGTAACACATACTTGGAGTGGATCTCTACTGTATTAAATTGAACTGAATATATAAAGCATTTCTAAAGGATAGATCAAGTCTAGACATTCTATCGTTCACTTTTTTATTTGGAGTGCGTGAAACAGTAGAACCTAAAATGGTAGCCACAAAAATTCACTACCGTAAATCTCTGTGCTTCTCAAGAGAAATAGTATGATGTATCTTTAATTGAAAAGTACGCGTGTGGCGAATTGGTCGGAGGCGCCCTGTAACACACACGTGGAATGCATCTCTGCGCCCATGGCCCACCAAGCCTTCTATCCCTCAGGGGTTGGCAAATTGGTACCAGACTCGTCTGCGAGGATAGCAGCGCTGACTCGATGCATTGGAAGGGCACCGCGAGTCATTGTAAAGACTAGATATGCATTCACTCACCTCCGAACGATGCTTGAAGTCACTATGGCACATCCCTCAGAGATTGGTCAACGCCGAGAACATTATCGTTATCCTTTATTTATCCTGTTCTAAACTTCAATTATTATTTTAGTGTGGATCTGATCGTATCACAAAAGACCTTTGCGAACATCTGTTGAAACCCAATCCGCAGTCCAAGCAGTGTCTTTGTTCGTTTTTATTTCGGTATTTTATTCGACAAAATGAGCTGTCAATGGAATTTGCGAAAGCCGTGCTCCCGATCGTTGTTAAGGTTCTCTAGGACCATTCTTTGCTTTTTTTGTCTAATTTGTTGTGTTACATGTTTTTTACTTATATTTCCAGCTAGTTTCGGATAGTAGTCCCTCTGTTCGCGAGGCGGCATGCAGCTCACTTGGCTCCGCAAGGCGACTGCTCGGAAAAGGTTTAGACGTGTTCTTGAATCCCCTTATCAGTGAAAAGACGAAACTTGACAAGGTTTAGTGAAGGTTTATTTCGTATCATTTAAGTAATCTTATATTCAGAATGGAGCGCGTGTTGCGCAGTGGTCGTAGGTGCCTTGCAATACACACGGGATGGATCCCGGAACCCAGACTCACCAAGCCTTCCATCGCTCCGGAGTGGGCAAATTGGTACCAGATTTGTCTGGGACGATAACAGCACTGGTTCGATACATCGAAAGTTCACCACGAGTTATTGTAGAGGCCAGATATGCATTCAATCACCTCCAAACGATGCTGAATGTAGTCGAATGCATAACGCATCCCTCAGGGATTGATCAGTGCCTTGAGCTTCATGCTTTATCCCTTATGCTCAGAACTGAGTCATACTTTGGCAATATGTCCTGACAGTGTAAGCAACACCACGACGAGCCGTCATCTGTATATTGTTGTGCTGAAAATACAAAGCAACGTATTTCCTGATTTTTTGAGGTGGAAGAGTTTTGCTGTGAAGCCAAGAAACTTCATGCGGAACTCAGTGCAAGTCGGCCGCAGTCAGTTACTTTAGACAAATTTGCTTCCGGTGACCATCGTGAGGTATGGCATTGTTCTAAATCTATTCTTTCATGCAATGCTTTTAATGCAGCGAACTAACGGCAGCATAGTGGTTGCAGTTTAATTTCTTTTAATGTAACTTCCCTCTGTTAATCAATCCCGTTGGCGGCTGACTGCTGATGGCACTGGTAAGTAGAAAACTAGCTGAAATACAGGCGAAACGAAGGATCTGCACAGTGTGGTTTTAAACGCGTTAGTCCTCTGAAAGGGTAATAGCCCGTTCGTTACCCACCGCCGGCACTTGCGGTCCGGAGTTTTGCAAATATCTCAGCATCATCGTGGTAGCTTTCTTTCTATTTGATTTTCTTTTATATAATCTTGCCTGCAAATCTCCATCAGCAGAACTCTGTTTTTTTCCCTACCTTATGCCGTCTTTATGTTAAGACGTTTCAGAAAACACATAGGAGAGACATAATTTAGACACGTTCGAACGATGCGATGTATTCGGCCGAGGTGAAAGATGTGGATCCTTGGACGCTGTTGGATCCCACAGATATTGTCGGCCAGATGAGGAAAGATTTCGACGAATTGGTGTGTAGAAATCTATTAGTAACAAAAGCAGTATGCAACTATGGAATTTTCTGTGCTTTACTGCTATGTTTACCAGGTTGCATCGAAGAAATGGCAAGAGAGAAAGGAAGCGTTTGACAGCATACTCTCCATTATGGAGTCTGCTCCTCGTGTTGCTATTTCTCCACAGCTACAGCAGATTATGACTACTATACTCAAAGTAGGAACTGTGTTTACCACCATGATTATTTTTAGCTTTTTCCAGTTTTTAAGGTTTAGTAGTACACTTCCATTTTTGCCATAGACATCCTATGTAATGTGGTTCTTTGCTTTGAGGTGATGGACAAAGACGTTAACATCAATGTTGCAAGTACATGTGCTAAATCCATGACAAAACTTGCTCTGAGCATGCGAACCGATTTCGCTGTAATGGTTCCCAAAGTAGGTTACGGGTTAACAACTATAAGCTGTGTTAAGCTATAACAACTTACTATCTGTATCTGAAGAGTAATGCCAAAAGCGGTGTACCTTGAGGTCATGGCAGTCGTATTCGATAAACTAAAGGAAAAAAAGGCAGTGTTACGAAGCGAGTTAGTTGAGTTGTGTGATGCCGCTGCCACTACAGTAAGTTAATCAAATTTAACTACTTATAAGGTGAAGCAAAAAGAGGAGGTACTGTAGGTTTCTTACCGATGTTTGACATTGGTTTTCATTTTTCTTCCTACATTTTTTTGTTATTTTTGGTGTTTATTTCTTCTCAATGAATAGATCAGAAATTTTAAAGACTCCACTTGAATGCTACACGGAAGCTGTTTGCGACGGGCTTGCGAAATCGAATCCGCAGTCACGAGCTCAAACTGCTCTTTTTTTGTCGCGTTTGCTGTCTCGTCATAACTCTTCGACTTTTCCAATTGAAGCCATCAAGCAAATCATGCCTGGTATCCTGAAGGTAGTAGGGGTTTACCATATGGTGTACGTCATCTTTGGAGAATGCTTAGGGGTAATTATATATTTATTTGTGTCATCTTTACATTATTCAGTGCTCTTCTGATGCTGACGGTGAGGTACGTGAGGCCGCTTTCCGGGTGATGGCGGCCATTCTACGATGTGTTGGAATGCCAGCTTCCAAAAGGTTGTTTGGCGAAATAACAGAGGATAAAGTAAGAATGACCAAGGTTAGTTTATGTACTTTGATTCTATTGCCACCTCTCGATGTTTTTTCATTCTTTCCGCTTGCGTGGTTCTGTAGTAGTAAGTTGACGAAGAGTTGAAGTTCTAATTGGCGTTCCTCTGTTTGCTGGTTTTGAATGGGATAGACCAACATTGTATAATGCAATAAATTAAAGGTCGAGGAATACAGTGAAAAAATTCGCGCGGAATTTGGTGACAAAGCTGCTCCAGAAATTCTACGACTTCGCGTCAGTATTACTAAGAATCCAAAGGTAAGGTGGCCTGTCGTTCTGGATGTTACTAGGTTGTAACTTTTATGATAATAATAATAACTAATAATAGTCAGCAGTAATAATGGTGGTAGTAAGCGGTATGTATTGAAGAGAACAACAAAGAACACCCGACTCCGCGCCCATCTTTTCGACTTCACGATACTTCCTGCTTTAACATACGCGTCAGAAACCGACACTTGGTAGCTGCATAAGCAGGATGAAACATACTCAGCATTATAGAACGCGCAGTCGAATGACGATGCTAGGAGCGGTATCCGATGATCCGGCTTACGTCAACAATCGAAAGTCAAGGACGCCGTTCTTTACGCCGAACTGTCGAAGATAAGGTGAGCCGGACGCGTATTGCGTATGAATGACAACCGATGGACAGGAGCCGTTAGTGACTGGATTCTTCGGGATGTCAAACGTACTGCAGGAAGACCACCGACCCGATGGTCAGAGCCCTTCACGAAGAGCCTAAAAGAACGATATGATGCTTAACGAGTCTGTAGAGCGAGCAGAATCCACTGGCTACTCCTGCACGCTAAAGGGAAAAGTGGAAAATTTGCTGGCGTCCGTTCGGTTCACTCGATAATCAGTGGGAATACAGGTGATACAGGAATAATAGTAATAGTAATGGTAAGTAATAATGAAAGGATAAAGCTCTTGATGCTGATTAATCCCTGTGGGATGCGGCATTCATTCAAATTCATCAAGCATAATTAGAGGTAGTTGACTACATATCTAGCCGATAGAACAGTGACTCGCGCTGGCCTACCGACGTAGAACATCGTCATTTTTATCCTCTCGGACAACTCTGCTGCTAATTTGCCGGCCTAAGAAGAAGAGAAAGCTTGGTCATCCTGGGTGCGAGATCGAAACAGACACCACGTGTGTGTTGCTGGGTCCTTCTAACTACTCTATACGAGCCCTGTGGTATTATTAATGATAATAGTGATGATGATAATGGTAGTGATATTAATAATAATAGGAGTAAGTGTAGTACGAATGATAATAATAACAACAATAATAATAATATTGATGACAATAATATAGTGATGACGGCCACTGCGAACTAAAGTTTTATTTCCAGAATCTCTTAATTGGTGTAGATTCCGTTTTGACTTTCTGTACCGTTTTGCTACCTATGTTTGAAAATTTCTGCTCTTTCAAGTTTGCTCTTACTGTTATTGCAATAATTTAGGAACCCACTCAGGAGTCAACCACATCAACCAAATCATCTAATACTGTGCACGCCACTAAGAAACAGTCGTCCTCTCAACTCGGCTCGAATCGCACACAGACAGTGTCAACGCAAATGCCGCAGGTCCTCCCCAGAGTCGTCCCACGAACGCCTGCAAAACCACCGAACTCTCAGCGACATTTAAATGGAGGTGCAACGTCGTCAAACCGTCAGCATAGTGCATGTGAGTGTATCATTGTGTTTTTAGTTTAATATAAGTATATAAGAGCGTGTCGCGAGGTTTCAGTGTATACTCTAGATCAAAGGAGCCATTTTCAGCCCACGTACGTAGTCAACTTGATCACCAATGTGGTAGGACAACAGAACAGCAGAAGTTGCCCGTTTCAGTAAAACCTGCCCCGACTATGTCTTGTAGGCCTATTTTTATTCTATTCCATATTTTAATTGACTGTTGTTTTTTTTTGAATTAGTGACCTCCTTGGTCTGAAACACTATGATTGGTCGAGTAAATTGGGCGGACTTCGTAAAAATCTTCATTCATCCATGTCACAAACCGATGCTGATGAGCAGTATTCTCCACGCTCGAAAGGCGTGAAGAGTTCGCTTATATTTTCCTGTGTTAGTACTATTTTGAAGTGAGGACATCACTATTAAGCAAATCTCAAGGTTGGTAATGCATACTCATTTCTGCTGAAGTAGACGTGGGACACAATTCTTGAGGACTATACTGAAGCGCCTCCTTCACTACAGTAGAAATAAATCGCTATTTTAACAATTTCTAAATTCTCCATTTAGCTACTACCAACAGTTCAGCTACGCCGGTGTTAAGATTAGGACACTTTATGTTAGACCTTGATGAAGCTACCATAGACACCATTATTGTCGATATTTTCAAGACCAAGCTCGAAAAATTTGTTAAGGACTTAACATCGTTGTCCACGAACTAAATGGGATGAAAGTGATGAGAATCTGTGTAGATACATCGTAACAACCAAGGCTAACCCTAGTTACTCATGATTCCAGAAACGCTCCTCTTAATAATGAACTTGTGGGTCCATCGATGAATAGTATAGCGAAAATGGCTTTATCATCTTAGAACGAGGTTTCTGTCTAACCAATATCGATGTCACAAAGTGATGGCTGTAACATATAGTTGAATTCTTTCTGCAAGATTTTTTCTTGGAGAGGAGAGGCCACAGAGTCTGCAGAACGAGTTCTTAGCTATAATAAACGAGCACTTTCCAATTCTTTGCCATTTTTGGGAAATATCGTTATTAGTAACGTGGATGGAAAATATGATGGACTCAATTAACACCAGGGAAACACTTATAGGATGGAATATTTGAAAGTCGCAAAAAGAATGCTGTCTCCATATTCCTCGTTCTTTACGCATTTTTAAAGAGTTTAACGAGCCTAAATCGGCTGCCAACTTACGTCCGAGTTTACACATAACCAAGGTGAGCATTTAACACGGGTCTGGATGGGATTAGACGTGACCCCACTAGTAGCGTACCCCTAGTTATTATCTAGGATTGTTATCAACACACTGGAATGGCTGTTATTATGTCTCCTGTTCTACTCAAGGACAAAGCAGCAAGCCTTCGTTGTTACACAAGGGGAGAATGGTTCAACAGTGCGATGGCATTTGGATAAAATTGCTCAGCGCCACTTGATATCATGCGAACAATTAAATGGTATAATATGGGAGTGGGGACCGTTGCGCAGAAGTTACCCAATATTCTCTTTGCCATTGTTAGAGCTCTTACAAAATTAAGCATTATGGAATCTAATCTTGGCTGATTTCGAATGTGCGAATGAAGAGAGGAGTTCTCAGTGAAATCTAAAGAAGAAGTGACTCTTTCAGGAATGCTCATGGAAACGGATTTTTCAGCCCTCTATAGTTGTATACTTTGATTTCCAAGCAAATGCAGTGTACAACTTAGGTCTGGAGTTAGGAAACGCGGTTTACAGAGCTTTTAAGCCTACCAAGGGTATAAAAAAGGCAAGTGAGACCGCGCCTTGTTCTACAAGATGAAAGTATGGTCAGAGTTATCGTGGTTTGTTATGAACGGTGAGTTTGTGAGCACTATATCACGTAGGTACGGGAGAAATCAGAAGCTCCACATGTGTTGACGTGACTCCCGGAGTTTGTTCCAATGGTCTGCTACCGCATATGCCGGTATATGGATAGTTAAGCGGTTTTGACAAGTGGTAGTCTTAAGTACAAGTACTGGATAAAAGCCATTAACGACCGTGTTCTAGCGGCATGTTATGCGTGCATCAAGGAACCACGGATCTCCATGAGCAGGTTTTTTCACGAAGACCCTGCAACTATGGTGTTTTTCGTGTCCTTCTAGTGAAAGAAACCCATTGACCATGCGTGGCAGACGAATGGAAGCTACCGATGACTTGAGTAACTTGAATATCAACAGGAGAACAAGGTTTACAGATAACACCAGTACGTACTTACATTTAAATTCAGCGCGATATTCTCATGCTTCTGCGAAACCAGTTTCGGCTCCGAATGTTGTGCGAATTACGAGCCAAGCTGCTAAATCATTGTCTTCAGGTCCGGTTAAACCCACAGTGAGTTTGTATTCAAATATCAACAATTTTGTTTATATCAAGATATCTGCAGTCCTACGATGTGGTATTTTACAAATATATAAAATTTTGCTGTTCTGTCTTATAGGCGAAGTGCAATGTCATCAATGGTGAGGGTTCATCTTCCAGGCTTTCTTCAGGAATTGCTATTAAAAATACTTCCACCACTCGGATTGGCTCGGGTTAGGCTTTCGTGCTACATAGTATTATCTCATTCCTCTTTCTTGGTCTCTCTTCTTATATCTCGAAGTGAACTTAATCGTGCTTTCTCGTTGTTTTGGTCTTGATATGGTCATTCACACAAAATTTTTCGAGGTAATTACTGGTGAGCTTCATTAGGGTGCAATAATGGTTCCTTCCAAAGATGAGAGAAAAGCGACTTTTCAACTGTTAGTCGGATACTTACTTAGATACTTGGATGGCCCGCGTTGCTGGTTTAGCCATTGTGGTTTCCTGGAATCCCAGAGGTTAGCCTGGCCAAAGTGGGTCCCAGGTAACCACCACCACAGGCAGTCGCCGCCTTTGTGCATCAGAGGGAGATTTGCCACTATGCGACTGGCTTAGTACCAGGACGATGACGGATCCTGGTATTGGTTTGCTCTTAGTTGCACTTCCTGATGGAAACGTCGGAGTCCTTCTCAGCTTCGCAGCCCAACACCCAGGAACACCTCCCAACCACGATGAGGCGATAAACCGTTGCGAAAGTTAGTCGGATATTAGTTTTTAATCACGGATGATACATATTTCGTCAATTTCAATCGTTGTTTTTTTACATAAACTTTGAATATAGCTTCAGGTTTACGACCTCCAACAACATTGACGCGTCTCAGCACCGGAATTCCTCGTCTTTCACGACCTAACTCGCCTGCGAAATAAGAGCTCTAACGAATTTGATTTGCGGAAGTTTACATATGCACTAATTATTTAGTATTTGATATTCAAATATCCGTTGTCAGGGTCCAAGGTTTATGTTTTCCCATTTCTGGCTTTCTATACTTGCGTATTTCACTTAGTACACTCTCTTTTTCATGGTACGTGTATTTCAATAATTCGCAGCTCTGAATGGCACCCATTCAATGACATCTACTTTTATGCTTCAATTGAAATTGAATAGAAACCTTGTTGTATAAAAGCTGAATTGCCTCTAAGATTGTATTTTGGTGATTGTCATAAACCTACTGACCTAAAGAATAATAATTATTGTATTGCCTTCCAAGATATTACTGTATTGATTTCCTGTATTAAATTAGTTGTTGTTCATTGGTTATCACTCTCTATATTACAGAAAAAAGAAGTGGCTAGTGGCTATTGATTGCTACCATTATTTAATGATGCTGAGATATTTGCAAAACTCCGGACGGCAGGTGTATGCGGTGGTGTATCAATTCCCGGAGTTTTGCAAATATCTCAGCATCATTGAGGTTATATTTCACAATGTATACCCTGCCGTTAAAAAGAGTAGGCAGTAAATAATAAGTTAAAATTGTGATTATAGCTACCATTATTATCCAGGACGCAGGATCTTCCGTTTACTCGTAAACTCTCTACTAACTCTTGTGTGGCGGTATTTTAGGAGGAGGCGTAGTTTTTTGCTGGGTGCGTTGAAAAATTCGTCGGGAAGGTTTTTTGTAAATCATTAATTGTGGAGGTCTTGGCGAGTGGAACATATATGTTGGATAAGCTATCAATTAAAAACAAACTAAATCGAATAAACTCTATGTGAAGAAACAAAGTATTCGGAAAGGTTATGCTACGGGAGCGGCACTTGCTCACCAATCTATGCATTGATGCCGATGCATAAGATCCGTTTCTATTTCGAAGGAATGGCATGTTTACGGGCGAACGAGGTAACCGGTTCGCTAAACGGCTGCGATGGTGGAAAGTTCTGGTAATGAAGCGAATTACCATCCTTGGATTGCCGTCACGCACACGGAATTCGTGCCTTACTTTGCTAGGGCATTCGGGGGCATATCATCTTTCCCTTTTTGAAGCCAGAGAGGGCAAAAAGCTGCCAAACCTAAAACGGGTGCATGGAGATATGAGTACGAGGTTGAAGCATTTCTAATAACGCTCATAGGGCGGGTATACTTCGCATGTGTAATTTTTTTGATCGCTTTGAGCAATATTTGGCATATGCTGTTGTTCAGTATTTTATTTCCACCATATGATTGAACCAATACCAGGATCCACCACCGTCCTGGTATGGAAGTCGCGTAGTGGCAAATCTCCTTCTGATCCACAAAGGTGCGACTGCCTGTGGTGGTGAAAACTCGGGGCAGACTTTGGCCTGGCTAACCTTGCGACTCCAGGGAACCACAGTGGCTAGACCAGCGATTCTCCGAAAATGGTCATTATACTGGAGCCTGCACAACCAGTGAGGATGGGCCGTTCAAGGAGCAAGTAAGTATCATGTATATTACTAAAACTACTACGATGATGCGAATCGGTGTTGTAGTCGTGGAATTATGATAGTTTAAAGGAAAATTTGATAACTATGAGCGACTATCTAGATGAGAGAGCACTTGTTAGAGACGTCCTGAAGTACACAGAATATCCTTTGTTCGATCCTGTGTCCTGGCAAACTGAGCACTCCACCGCTTCGGCTCGAAGAACTGCTATTGTCTGAAAGGGTAGAAACATTTAGCGTTACATTGATAACCTTCCTCAACCTACTGTGTAGACCATCTAGGTATTCTATCACCTTCCCAATGCCTGAGTCGCATTCATGGCGCATAACAGTATTATTGATTAACAGCGAACGCTTCATTCCTTAGTTTTTATTGGGGTGAGCGTATTTGTAATGAGTGTTTAGCAATCAGCTGTACTTGTAGGTGCTAATTCTTTGTAGATCACGTAATGGTAGTTGGGCACGTCGCCATGGTAGAAGGGAAGAACAGCCATGCTACCACGCTAGAGCTCTCGTTGCGCAGACGGAATCTCCAACTATCCAACTAAGACTATGGTAGTTATGGTGCAATGCTTCTAGAATCGCAGCAAAATCCATCATAGTAGTGTCAAATCTGTTTGTTTTCTTGTTTGTTGTGAAAACTAAACACAGAAGTTTATTGCTATCCCTTAAAAATGTCATCTTTAACGTCGGCCAATGTCTCGTACTGCGGATCTTTGGCGTCAGCTTTTTGTACCTGAAAATAGGATAAGGCTATGGTTTTCCGTCTACTCAAAGAACATTTTACGAATACTTTAGAGCATTATCTGAATAACCTTCGCTGGTTCTTTGAACTTTTTGTTTTTGTCTCCCTTTTCCTCCGGTTTCTCATCAGCGAACAGATCTTTACCGATTCCGCGCAAGGTCTGGAAACGAAGACAATGTTTAGCGAAATTTAAATTGAAGAACTTGTTTTACGCATAGCTAAATACTTAACGACGGAAGGTTCTAAGAAATGTGCCGACCTCGAAAAACTGCTCTACCTATCGCAATATGAAAGGCTGGCTTAAAGGATTTTTTAAAATCGTCTAAGACTTTTCTCCCAGTTCAGAAAATCAACCAGGAGAATCTACGAATGTAAATGGTACAGTTAGGCAAAAATTAACTTTTTAATTCACTACCAACAGTTTTCTTCTGATCACAGAAACGAGCAGTTACAATGTGTACAAGGAAACTGCCGCAATCCTTGTTACCGCCCAACATACCTTACTCTCCGACTTCTCACTTGGCAGGTCTGGTGGCTTTCACACAGTTGCCTTCTCCTCTAGTTGTATTTTTTTTGAAGTCAGTAGAATAGTAGAGATGAAGAACAATGAAAACAGATTTGTGAAGAACACTTACCTCATACTGCGGGTCCTTGGCATCGGCCTTTGTGATGTTTGATGGGGGTTTGAACTTCGACTTGTTTGGATTGTCTTGGCTTTCTGGTACGTTCTTAGCTTCCTGTTAACCCAAAGTAAAAGTATATTCGTTGCAAGTCTGATTTTGTAGAAAATCCCAAACAAGCTGTTACTTGAGGTTCTCTACATAAGGAATTCCTTTTCATGGTCGTTTTCATCCTAATTTGTAGAATAGAAACACTGAAGCCAATGAGTAGGTTTTCAACTTTGTTTTCAGCCACTTAAGTGATGCTTGGTAAATTTTTCCATTCACTTTCTAACCTGTTTTCCTTTTGCAGATTTTTCCTCTTCATTGTCAGGCTTCTCAGGCTTCGGCTGAGCTTTCTCCGCTTTCTCCTTAAAATTGAACATTTATGATCGTAGCAATCTCTTCAGTTTCTCGTAAGGATAGGCCTTTCAGAATTAATACATACTGGAACTATCGGCGGCTCTTCGTTTTCCTCTCCTTTATTTCGTACCTGTGCTCCTTTCTTTTTTCCCATCTGTTTGCTGGACTGAAAATTTGTATTCCCATCACGATAGAATATATATGAGTCACACGGTCTACTTATAGACGTCAATATTACCACTTTTGAAATTAACAAAAATAGAGGTCTTCATCTAGAACCTAGCGAACACAGAGGTGTGCCCGTGTATCTGTGAGCGTTTGTGCTGTGTGCATGTACGTGTGTGTTCGTCTGCGTGTTAAATCATCGTCCTCTAATGACGAAACATAGCGAATGATGGCAAAAGTAAATGAGCGGCTAAAATGTACTGCGAGTCTAAAGTTTCCACGAGTCTCCATCAGTTGAAGGATTTTGAGCTAGATAGTAGAGTCGCTAAGGGGGGCTCTTGTGGCGCATGCGGGCTAAACGCTGTGCGAAATCGACCTTGAACTTTTCTAAAGCGCAGATTAATCCACGCGATTGGCTCCACGTTTCTGCTATGCCGATTTGAAACTTACTTTCTGTATTCACATATGTTCATGTTCATGCATGCGTGCGTAGATATGTTCTCATTTATGCAAATTTTATTCCACAGGTCGATTTGGGAAGAATCCGTAAATTAAGCAGCTGGAAAGCACATAGGTGGTGGTTTTGAGTCGCCCATAATAAACAGATTCCATGTCTAGTCTGGGAGAGGCTGGTAAACTATCCGCGAGCATATCTAGCCCACATGCTGACACCTCGACAAGTTTAATTCTAGAATGACTAAGGTGACGGCATGTACTCGTTATACAATTAAAACAGCATCTAGATCCTACACCGTAGATCTGATGATGCAGGCTAAAGAAGGCTGACGGCGTTTGTGATATTGGAGATGAACTATTCCTCGGAACATGCGACATCGTTGGAGCCGGCGGTGTCGGCATTCTCGTCAACATTTGTTTGGTCATGAACATTGGTTAATTCGAACAACTACCAACCCCAATCGGAGGTTTCTTCATTACTGAAGAGATGGGAGTCAGATAGTTAACCCTTTTACTTAGTTAACATCTTTTATGCCTTTACCAGTTTTTATCGCTCTGAACATTCTACTGAAATATTTGTCATTTGTAAATATAAGCAACCTTATACCTTTCGAATATGCCATTCTAGAAATGTCTTCGCAGCAAATCTCATTGTCAAAGAAGCAAATTAATAAGAGCTAAATTTTTTCTAACACTTCTTGAAGAAAGAATGAAAGTGAATGTAAATTGAATACTTTTTCTAGGACTTCGGTATTATACAGAGAAGAATTCGTTGAACTTAGCGCTGGACAGTTCGAGCGTCCGTCTATGTAACTAATCCTAAAATTGTCGTCCCACAACACGTTTTCAACATAACGTTATGGAAATCATGCAAAATACATGAATCCAGGTACATATACCTGATTTCTAGTATGGATTGTTCTTAACTAATTAGATGCCCTTGAGGTCTTTTTCACCTGTCAGGACTGTTCCAACATTCCCTTCATTCGATTACTTGTATTGTTGTCTTGCAACCGTCATCCTAGGAGGTAGTCTGACTCGTCGCCTGGCTTCTACTGCGGGTTGATGGTCCATCGTCTTCCCTATACTGAGTGGTGGTTGAGGGTTTTTTCCTGGAATCTCCAGTTAGCCACGCTGCAACGCCTCCGGGTCTTCGTCGCTGGCACATAGGAGACCATATGGATCGGAAGGATGTTAGTTTCTCTGTCACCAAGACTCAACAATGGTGGAAGCGATTCCTGCTATTAGTCAACTGACTCATTGAATATGATGTAAGGGGCCGAGTATCCAGTATGTACATACCCTACTGCATCACATGTAGTATCGTTAATCACCGAGTAGGCAGTAGCCACCTCTAGGCGCCATTCTCCCCCATCGAACACTTGGTACGTATTGTGGGCCCGTTATGCCGTCTTTTTTTAAAAACTGGTTTTTCTGACTAGGTGGTTACGAGCAAAGTGCCCTGATGAGATATCCATGTAGTCTTCGCTAGGTTTTATGTGAAACTCTCGGACTTCTTTTCACCTTAGGAAACATCACTTGGATATTAAATCGTTGTTGTTCACTCTTGTTCCAAATTCAGGAAGAACCTCCAGTCATGATGTGGAGACATATAACTGTAAGAGAATTAGTAATACGCTATAAAAGTATAAAAGATGAAGCTCTCGGCTTTGATCATTCCCTGAGAGAAGGACCATGCAGTCGACTTCATTAATCATCGTTGGAGGTGACTGAATGCATATCTGACCTTTACAATGACTCGCAGTGGCCTACCGATGTATCGATCCAGTGCTTCTATCCTCCCAGACAAGTCTGTACCAATTTGCCGACCTCGGAGTGATGGAAGGCTTGGTGGGCCGTGAGCGCGGGGATCGATTCCACGTGTGTTTCGCAGTGGCGTCTCCAACCACTGCGCCACACGCGCCGTTAATACCTTATAGCAATCAATAATTTCTGGAATGTGAAGATATTTGGTGCCTTTGTGAGGAAACAAAAGTCACCCCAAAATTTTACCCCAATGCTTTTTCAAGTGTCCAACGCAGTGGGCCGTTTTCGGATGTGTTAATTTCAACGTCTAGAAATGGAAGCCAGTTTTCTTTCGGTTTCTCACGATGAATTTTATGTATTCTGACTGTTCGTTCAATAATTCAAAGCATTTGTCCATCTCCACTTGTGTGGAGCAGATGACAAAACAATCATCTATATACCTACAGTAGAGTAATGGCTTGAGATCAATTACTGGTGCTTCTACTTTAGAAATAAAGGCAACGGCAAGGGTTGGTGCCAGTCGCTGTCCCATTGCCAACCCTCTAATTTGCAAGTAATATTTCTCGAACCATCTGAAGGTCGAGCAGTTTAGGCAGACCTTTAGGAGGACCATGAGCTGCTCGAAAAGCCATACATGTTAATTGCTCCTTTGTACTACTCAAGAATCTCGCGGATGTTTGCATTACGGAGTTGTTCGACACGTTAGTGTAAAGGGCGGTAACGTCGAACGATTCCATAATGTGCGCGCTTTTGGGACGTGCGTTGCGCAGACGGTCTGGGAACATTTGGGTGTTCGTGAGATTGGCTGGAATGTGCTTAAGCAACTGGTTGAGAATTAGATTTACAAACCAAGCAATTCCATCCGTAGGCCCTTAATTCAAAGATGAACCGCAACGAGGAGTGTATTTTCATCACGCGTGACATGGCGCCATACCTCAGGCTGATTCAATGACCTGACACAGGCACAGTTAACGCCCATGTATTACTCTGTGCAGCTGCTATCCACCAACTAAAATAATTACTACAAATAAACGTAGGTGTTTAAATGAAGCTGTTTCTTATGTGAATGCAAATTTATTTTTAAGTTTTATCTGCTAGGGTTATGAAAGGGATGGCTGAGTTGGTCGCATCTCAATTTGACCTTTTCAGGCTCTGAAGAAGGCGAAACCGCCGAAGCGTCATCCACTGTATCCTAATGATTTCTATGATAACAGCCTCGTGTCTTCTTATTCAAGAAAAACATCGAATTCTTGTTAGCTGGATTCGTTCCAAGCCCGTGTTTGATGTCTTAGTTCTTCGAAGGCATTGATTTTTCAAGTTATGTGATTTCACGCAACATCATTTGCTGAGTTTACAACTGATATTTCATTTCGACTTGTGGCTGAAGCTGCTGCTTTAGTTCTCATCATTTCTTTCTTATTCTGTTGATATAAATTAGCCAAAACGTACTTACTTGATACTTGAATGGCCCGTCCTCACTGCTTGTGCGGGCCCCAGCATAATCTTCATTTTAAACTCTGCACCAGGTCTTCACCACCACGAGCAGTCATACCCTTGTGGATCAGAGGGACATTTGCCACTACGCGACTTCCATACCAGGACGGTGGTAGATCCTGGCATTGGTTTACTCTTGGCTAGGTTTCCTGATGGAAACGCCGGGCTACTTCTCAGCCTGGGAGAGCCTGCCAGCGGAGGAATTCCCCATTGTACATCGCAGTCCGACACCAAGTAACACTTCCCAGTCACGATGAGGCAGTAAACCGTTGGGAGGTGGAGTGGAACCTCTCAGTGCGGATGGCCGCAACAAACGCCGACGTGCCATCGTGGAAGCCACACACCGCGAGCCAAAAGGCGACCGAAATTAGCCAACAAATATTCATAATAGAGGAATGAAGAAGATTTGTTTAAACAAATCCTTACTTTATTCTCCATTGCTAAAATTTTCGGTTTATTTGGGCGAGTCATGGTCTCCCCTGTATATGTTAATTGTGGCTGAAAGGAATTTTTCATTATTCATAGGTAGCAGATCACATAGATGTTACGCAGTATTTGAAAAGTAAGTAAACACACATCTTTAAGCATGAGCACCGCTACATCGCGTTCAAATTCATTTACGTCCGGATCGAAACGCAATTGTTCAGCGCTCAGCTGCATAACGGACCCCGAGATCTGAATTTCAGGTTTCACTTGACTTTTGTGGGTGAAGGAAACGAAGCTTTAGGTGCTTCGAGCAGCGAAATTTTTAGCGCTTGCGATGGAGTAAAGAAGTGGGGCAACAATTTGTCGCCTACCGAGCTATTTTCGACGAGTTTTGA